GAAAAATTTTGCAGATATGAATAAAACTGACAACACAAAGCAAGTACGGCATGGAATTTTACTACTGAAATGTTTACACTTACCCAAACCAGCACAACGACAATTAAATTATCAAAGACATCAAAACATCAAAACAATTACTATTCAAACTTTGTTTCGCGATTGAACAGCCACTAATTCATGAAACTGCTGGCTTATTACCAGTTAAAATCGAGAAAAAAAGCCACGTTGTACTTTTGTAAACTTTTTAACGAAATTTGAAACAAAAAATTGATGTAAAATAGCAAAATACGTCCTTTCAAAATTAAAAACAATTACTTCGACAGAGTGTCAGAGTTTGTACTCGTGCATGCACATAACGTCGAAAACCGTCCATAACATAAACAAAATGGAGGACAACTTTGTACTCCACTATCTTTTCACACACCTGGGTATAATTAGCCATGCGGAATTAGTACCCTCGCATGGCGCTTCGTGCCACCGGCTCTGGGATGAAATAAAAATATACTTTTCAATCGCAATCAATCTTGGTTTGAAAGTAGAAATATAACATGGTGTCAGGAGTGGGATATTAGTCTAAACATCAGACTAATGAAATATCAAAACATTTTCAAGAAAGCAGTAATTTCAGAGAAATTTTAGACCAAAGTTTTAGCAACGAAAGTAAACAATGGCGATGCATTTTGGTCTAATACCACCTCAAACGTTGGATCTAAACAGTGTAAATGTATCGGCAAACTGGAAAAGATTCAAGCAGAGGTATCTCAACTACGAAATAGCAATTGGCATCAGTGGAAAAGAGGATGCAACTCGAGTCGCAACATTGCTAACCATCATAGGAAACGAAGCATTTGATGTCTACAACACGTTCGTGTGGGCTACAGTTGGGGATTGTAAGAAGATAGCTAAAGTTCTTGAAAAATTCGATGAACATTGCGAGCCAAGAAAAAACGTAACCTATGAAAGATACATATTTTTCACCAGAGCACAAGAAACCAGTGAAACCATTGATCAGTATGTCACAACATTAAAGAGGCTTAGTGACACCTGTGAATTTGGGACATTAAGGGACACTCTCATCAAGGAGAGAATAGTCCTGGGAGTGAAAAATCAGAAAATTTGTGAGAGACTTCTTTGAGAACCAGACCTAACCCTTGACAAAGCACTTGATTTGGTTATAGGTGCAGAACGAACGGAAATGCACATCAAAGTAATCAACGACAGGTCAGCAGTACATGGTATAAATCACAAGAAAAGTAAATTTAATGAGAAAAAACTCAAGAAGAAAACTCAATGAAATCCAATCGACCAGAGAAACCTTCCATGTCTGAGGTGTTCAACTGTTATAACTGTGGAACTCAACACAAAAGGAAAGAATGTCCTGCATATGGGAAAACGTGTCATCGCTGTCATAAATCGAACCACTTCAAAGCTATGTGCAGATCTAAAAAGAATGTCAATGCTGTAGAGTGACAAGAAGATTCATACCTTGAAGAAACACTGTTTGTAGGAGCAGTGACGTCAGAAGTTCAAAATGATGAATGATATGTTACTCTGATTCATACCTTGAAGAATCTACACTGTAGGAGCAGTGACGTCAGAAATTCAAAATGATGAATGGTATGTTACTCTGAAAATCGAGAAGCAGAACACAAAGCTCAAAGTGGACACTGGTTCGCAAGTGAACATTCTCAATCTTAATCATTAAAGAAGATCAAGCCCCAACCAAGTCTCAAAGAATCAACCAGTTACACTGGAAACAAACTAGCTGTGTTAGGAACTACAGAACTATGTGTAGAATCAGAGACAAATCAATCTAGAAACTTAAATTTCTATGTGATAGACACAAATCAACCAAGTCTTTTGGGACTCAGCAGCTCAGGAACTTGTTTTGATAAAAATCGTGGGAAATACCAGAGTAGACTCAACGGCCAAGAAACCACCAGCACATCTCAAAGAAGAAGTATTCAAGAAACATCAGAAAATCTTAACTGGTTTGGGTGACACCGGACATTAATCCTTCTAGAACTATTCCAGCTGCTTTTTGCAGTAGAGTGAAAGAGGAACTTGATGATATGGAAAGGAAAAATGTAATTCATAAAGTGGAAGAGCCCACTGATTGGGTGAGTTCTATGGTTGTGGTGGAGAAACCTAACGGAAAACTTCGCATTTGCTTAGACCCAAAACATCTGAACAAAGTAATCAAGTGTGAACATTTTCAATTACCGAGAATTGAAGATATCACTACACGTATGGCCAATGCCAAGCGGTTTGCCAAGCTAGATGCCAATCATGGATACTGGCAAATACCTTTGGACGAGGACAGTCAACTCCTTACCACCTTCAACACTCCTTTTGGCAGATATTGCTACACTTGCACTCCATTTGGTATCACCTCAGCACAAGACGTTTTTCAGAAAAGGATGCATCAACATTTCGATGATATCGAAGGTGTTGAAACAGATATTGACGACATCCTTATTCATGGAACGAGAGAAGAAGAGCATGATCAACTCCTCAAATCAGTCTTAGAAAGATGTGAGAAGATCAATCTAATCTTAAACAAAGAGAAATGTGAATTCAAATCCAGAGGAATCTCAGAAAATGGTGTTAAACCTGATGAAGCGAAAGTTAAAGCTATGAATGAAATGGAAGCACCAACAGACAAGAAAGGTGTGGAGAGACTGCTTGGAACTGTGAACTATTTGGGAAAATTCATTCCAAATTTAGCAATGGATAAAGTAATATATATATATATATATATATATATACATATATACATAATAAATTTGAAGATTTGTAATCCAGGCATTGTATTAAATTATAATTTTTACCGGAGAACACTGTATAATTTTGTAAAAATTATAATTTAACATATATACATATACATATACACATAATCTTGGTAAATCTTATAAAGATGTTTTTAAGGCAAGTTCTCAAACCCTTGATCCAGAGTTTGACTTAGTTTTATAATTTTTTAAGAACATAATTGTGAATCAAGGGCTGTTTGATCAGGTCAGAGTTGACCGTGGCAAGGAATTTGTTCTAACATTGTACATGCAGGAAATTCTTGCCCATCATAGAACAAACCCTAATAGAGATCCCCATTGTCAAACTGAGTCAAAAAAGGTAATGGCATTCTTTAGTACCTGTTCCCGCTTCTGGAGACTGAGAACTGGCGCAAGCCCTGAGAAAGTGAGGGGCCCCCGGAAAAAGAATTCTGTATTCGCACATTGTTCACTTTTGGACGATTTTAGTGTTTGGACGGTTTTACGTACATTTTATGAGTATTTTGGGGATTTGTTTCGATTGATATTACAATGTTTTGTTGATATTTGATTTCGTGTGCGTGTGTTGGGTCGCCCTGTGACATTTGATCCTATTCGAGCCTGGATTAAAGACATCGAGTTATATTGTGAAAATTGTGTGAGTTACTTCGCCCAAGAGACATCAAAGACGTCTATTTGTGAGTACATTTTATAACAGTGTTATTATTTGAACGAATTATACGGTTTTAAATCCTGGATTAAAGACTAGTATTGAGAGAGTTTCAAGTGTACTTCTCGCAAGTTTTGATGTACTAAAATCGAGTCTATTCAAGTGTAAATCTACATCGAGTTACAGTATATTGTGAAAGTTGTGTGAGTATCGCCCGAGACACATCAAATGCGTCTATTTGTGAGTACATTTTATAACAGTGTTATTATTTGAACGAATTATACGGTTTTAAATCCTTGGAAACAATAAACTGTGCAGTTTATGTGCATACAATCTATTGAATATATATACATCGAGTTAATTTAATACAGTGGGTCGAAGATCAAATTCTATTGTTGTTCCTATGTACTAAATGAGTAAAAGTAAGGACGGTGAGAGTATTATTACGCAGTTAGAATCCATAACAAATCAAGATCAATCATTGTGGATGGCAGAGAGACAGCCTAGTACAGATGTAAACAAAGGAGATGAAACTAATATGTCAGTTAGATCTAAGACTAAGTCAAAACAATCGGGTGTATCCAGTATTTCAACTGCTCGAAAAGTGGCAATATTATCAAAGAAATTCGAAGCTGAAAAGGCAGCTCATTGTTTAAAGTTGTTGGAAGAGGAGAGTGTACAGTGTCAGGAAGAGGAAAATTAGCTACAAATATTGCAACAGAAACAGCGTCTGCAAGAAGAAGAACAAAAGCATCTACAGGCGGACCTTGAGAAAGCAAAGGTCCAAGCAGAACGTCGCAAAAAATGGCGAGAATTACAACAGCAAGCTAGAGAGTCTCAACTTGAGTATGAACATGCTGTGAACGAGGACGAATGTATGCGGGAAGAAGAGAATAGATCAATGAGACAAGGACTAGTCGAGTTACTCGGCAGCGAAACACTGGAAGATCGTGTTATGCGGCTAGGCCAGGATGAAACAAGGAATGACAATCAGGATAATTTGTTGAGTAGGCCAGGGCAACCGTTAGATAGGCAGAATACCACACACACTATTCCAGGGACAAATGGGGATAATCAGGTACATAGTGTTAGAGCAAGGGACATACAGGGAACTATAAATGAGACGGTGTATAACCCTGAACAGGCTAATAGATTTAGAGCTGAGAATACTATCCCAAACCTTTCACAGCCTAAAATTCGAAAAGAGACAGCCCCAACTGAAAGCCTTTTAGAGAAAATGCTTCCTACCCTTATCAAGATGGAAAGACCTAAACTACCAGTATTTGACGGCAATCCGGTTGACTATGCTAGATTCAAAGCTTGTATTAAAGTAGAGATTGAACAGAAAGGGGTGTATGACAATGTTGAAAAGCTCAAATTTCTTCTTGATGCTGTGACCGGGTCGGCAAAATCCTGCTTAAAGAGATTTATCCCAGGATCTGAGAGATATAAAGAGGCGTGGCAAGCCCTAGATAATCGATTTGGTCAGCCAGACGTGGTAGTAGCCGCCGCAAAGAAGCAAATTGATGAGTTTCCTGACATTCCAACTGAAAACGCTGAGAAAATCAGAGTATCAAGAATTGGTTTCAGAGCTTGTTGGTGTCTACAAAGAACTTGACTTTGCACATGAACTAAAAGCTCAATTACCTGAATCATATGTTAAGCGTCTCCCAACTCGCCTTTGTGCTCGATGGGGTGAAAAGGTCGAAGGTAAGCCTGAGCTGTCAACTTGGGAAGAATTTGCAATTTGGTTGGAAAAAGAAGCGAAATTATGTGAAGGGAAACAACGGTGGATGCCAGAGAAAAGGGAGAGAAGGAAAAGTTCCTGGCAAAGTGGTAGTTACAAAGATACAAGAGGTGATCGATACAAGTCTGGAGTATTTGCTGGAGCCATGCACGAGTCTTCAAATAGAAATAGACCACGTACAGTCGCTAAATGCCCGATCCATGAATCAGGTAAACATACA